AGGCCCTACATGATGGGACGCGCCCTCTCGGCAGTCTCACTCCTACACCCCAGCTGCGTTCTTTCTTCCTCAATGTTGCTTATACTCCACCCTCCCTAAGGATTTCTGTGCATGCTACTCCTTTTGCCCTATGCACCCTTGGTCTGACCAGCTCCTACAAGGCATCCTTTGGGTTTCAAGCTATTCCTTGGATGAGGCTTCCTTGATTGCCCCTGGCCCTACTCCCTTCTTCTGATTTAAGTTAAATCCCTTGTTATACACAGGACCCTCTACTTTTCCTTTGGGACACAGCAGGAGTGTAATTAAATACTTAGGTAGGTAATTCCTGGTTTGATGCCTTCTTCCCCTGAACCCTGTAAAGTGCACAAGATCAGGGACAATGACTGACTCTGCCACCCAGCACCATGCCTACTGCATAAAAGGTACTCAGTGTTTGTGACACGATGTGTCTGCCCAACACCAAAATGGATACCCACCCCCACACCAGAAAAAAACCCCAAACAACAGAAAACACGACACAGTCCCAGGCTTTCAGAAGATTAAACTCTAGTTTGGGATACAAGGGACACATTTTGAGAAAAGGGCCCCGGGGATAAGGGGGTCTACCCTACAGAGAAAAAAGCCCTGAGCACTCAGCCTCGCTCTACAGAGGGCTGCAGGAGACGAGAGCCAACTGGACAGTCACGTGGGCAGCGTGCTCACAGGGCAGCATCATGGAGAGCTGCAGAGAAATCTCTGTGCTGTCACACAGGGACACTTTCTCTCTGCACCACTCCTTCTTTTAAAAATAACACTTGAGCTGGAAATGAAAACCCTCTTCGGTGGAGAAGGAAAAGAAATCAAACAACCCCATGCTCCATCCTGCAGCATCCCTCCCCTGAAGAAGTGGAGAGCCTCTTGGGCCTGAACTGTCTCAGTCTCTGGTGCCAGCAATCTTCTGATAAGTGGTGTGCAAACAGACAGAGCGGCTGAGGTCAGCTCTGTCAGCCCCCGACTGCAGACATCCAAGCTCTGGTGTGTGTCTCCACCACGCCTAGATGTGTGTTACCGGTCCACACTCTCCAAAGGAGAACGGGGGTTTTGGCAAAGGCAAAGGATGGCTGGTATTCTCTCAGCTCCCAACTGTTAATTCTAGAGCATTCCACCTTCACTTTACGCTAAGGCCTTTTGTCTGAGGTTCAGGATTTCTGGATGTACGACCCATCACTGCCATACGCCATCCCCGAGGTATGGTCCCTCCCCCTTGGACTTGCGCACCAGTTCACAGTTTTCTTCCCCTCCCAAGTCCTGCCATCACCAAGCTGATTTCACTGAGTCTTAACAATTCTATCCCTTAAACTTCTCCAGGATCCATTCTCTCTACCCCATCCCTGGTGCTCCTTCGCACTCTCCTCTTTTCTTACCAGGAGAACTAAAATACAGTCCTCCGTTTCTGTGCCCTGAATCTCTTTCTCTTCTAGAATTTCTATCTAATAATTCCTCTATTAGATCCCCAACTCATACCCAATAAGTCCTCTTCCCTGATTCATATCTAATAACTCCTTTTTTTTTTTAAGATTTTATTCATTTATTTGACAGAGAGAGAGAGAGATCACAAGTAGGCAGAGAGGCAGGCAGAGAGAAAGGGGGACGCTGAGCAGAGAGCCCGATGTGTCTCAATCCCAGGACCCTGAGATCATGACCTGAGCCGAAGGCAGAGGCTTAACCTGCTCAGCCACCCAGGTGCCCCTCTAGTAACTCCTCTAGAAAGCATTCATTGGTTCCCCAAATTCCTTACACAGCAGTATGTAGGAACCTTTATATCTTCCATTTTATTATGAAAAATTTCAAACACACAGTAAAGTTGAGATGATCATACTTCAAATAGCCACACACCCACCACCTAGAGTCTGCAATGTTAACATTCTGGTACATTGTTTTAATCACATTTACATCATCATCTATGCAAATATAAACTCATCTTATTTTTGACCCATTTCCAAGTAAGGTACAGACCTCAGTGTACTTCATCCTAGAGGCTTTAGCATGCATTTCTTTAACTTGTGTCCAGAGTTCATGGTTCTTTTGGGGAGCAGGGAAGGAGGGCAGAAATAAAATCTCTTTACAGTGAAATGTACAAATCTTAAGTTTATTATTGGATGAGTTTTGATAAATACATACTCTCAATGCAACCCAGACCCCTACCAAAATTATCAGACCATTCCATCATTCAGAAAATTCCCTCCTACCCCTTTCCAGACAATCCCACCCTTGTATCCCCCCCTTGAGACAACCACTGTTCTGACTTTTTCATCTATTGCTGGGTTTGCGGGCTTTAGAACTTCATATAAATGGAATCAAACACTATAGGCTTTTTTGTATGTAAGGATCTTTCACTCACCATAATAGCTATATTGTTGAGTGTATTAGTATATCACTCTTATTGCTAACCAGTTTATCCTTTCTTTTACAGAGAGACATTGAGTTAATTCCAGTTTAGAGCTATTATAAAGGAAGCTCTATATGCATTCTTGTACAAGTCTTTTGTATCATAAAATAAATATTTTTTTTGGGTCAACAACTAATACCCAAGAGTGTAAGTGCTGAGCCATCAAGCAGGTATATATTTAATTTTATAAGAAACTGCCAGACCTTTTCCCAAAGGGCTTATACCATTTTATACCCCCACCAACAACATATGACATATAATTAAAAGACAGCCCTGCCTCCTCCAGCTCTAGCTCCCAATGATCCCTCCTCCTCCCCCACCAAGCTTTCAGAACTTGAACTTTTCTGCGGCTTTATCCCTGTGACGAAGGTTCACCTGTGCTATTCCCTCCGCCTGGAATATCCTGTCCCAATATTCTGCTCGACAGAAGTTCACCCCTTCTGTGAAGTCCTCCCTTTTCCTAACCATCACCACCATGCTTTCATTATTACCACACATTTGGCCATTACTTGCACTGTCACACTTCCCACAATGTGTTGTGATTATGTGCGATATGTTGATCTCTTCACTAGGCAGGCTGAGGTGAAGAGGGAGTGCTTTTCTGCCTTGGTAGCAAGAATGCTTGTTATGTTTTCATATTTTATGACATACTATGGGATACTTTACAAAGTGTTTTTTTTTACATAAAGCGTACTATTTATACTTTATGATACTTGAATGTCCTCACTGAACACTAGTTTAAGGACTCTGAATACTGAAATCACAGAGATTCAGTGTGGCTAGGAGATGGGGGGCACTTGAGAAATGGGTCACCAAAGAAGATTAAAATGTCAGGAACTTCTTATTCCTCTTGGAATCCTCAGGGCTAGCACAGTGCTTGGTACAAGACAGATGATGAACAGAGGTCTCCTAAATAGCAAATCCAATAATGTTGTTTCTGTGCTTATAATTCTCTGCTAGCTCTCAACCAGCTGTAAGATCAAAATCCCGTCTTACAATTATCATATGATCTCTCTGATATGAGGAATTTGAGAGGCAGGGCGGGGGGTTGTGGGGGGCAGGGAAGGAGAAAATGAAACAAGATGGGATCAGGAGGTAGACAAACCATAAGAGACTCTTAGTCTCACAAAACAAACTGAGGGTTGCTGGGGGGTTGGGGTTAGGGAGAGGGTGGTTTGCGTTACGGACACTGGGGAGGGTATGTGCTATGGTGAGTGCTGTGAAGCGTGTAAGCCTGACGATTCACAGACCTGTACCCCTGGGGCTAATAATACATTATATATTAATAAAAAATATATATTTTTTTAAATCCCCATCTTAATGTGGTCTACAAGGCCCATCATAATCAGCAGCCCACACTGAACCGAGCTGTCTGGACAGTATCCTCTGTTGCCTCCACTCTCTTTCCTTATATTCTCTATCTGGAATACCTCTCTTCTGTTTCATTAGTAAGCTGTGGCTCTAAATACAAGTGTACTCAAACCAGAACTCCTTTGTGAACTTTCACCTCACAGAATGCCCATCCCCACGTTCTTTTCTTACCCTAATTATATCCCACCTGCATGCAAACCATTTTGTCTCACTAGGGCTATACTCTTTCAGAAAACAAAGACTTGACTTAATGATTATACACTGCAAACACCACAGTGGTCTAGCTTACCAAACTTTTCACCTCATGCTGAAATAATGATCACATATGTTGTTATCAAGTGACCCCCATCTCTTAGCCACACTGAACTGGACCAGGAGTGGGCAGCTGGTGCACATTCTCCCTTGAGAGCCTGAGCAAGAAAATGGCTTCCAGTCAAGGAATGAAGACGTTGTGGGAATAAAAGATACAATACAGGGAATATAGTTAATGATGCTATAGGGTGACAGATGTTAGCTACACGTGTGGTCAGCCTAGCATAATACACAGACTTGCTGAATCACTATGTTATATACATCTGAAACTAATGTAACATTGTGCATCAGCTCTTCTTCAATTAAAAAAGAAAAAGAAGCAGGAAAATGAGCCGGCACTTGGAAGAAGCTGCAGTACAAGACTATGTGGCTCCAAGGGGAGAGGTACAGACAAAAGAGCCATCTGAAAATTTTCCAATAGTCACAAAATCCAGCTTTGCTTCCTACTGCTGGGTTCTGGAAGGTTCTACCACATTTATCCAATAAATTCCTTTTTACTTAATCTAATTTGATTTAAAGTTCTGTTCCTTGACCCTGATGACCCTAAGAAACCTTGTACCAATATGATTATAGAATACATGAGCTCTGGGACGCCTGTGGCTCAGTTGGTTAAGCTGCTGCCTTCAGCTTGGGTCATGATCCCGGGGTCCTGGGATCAAGTCCCACATCGGGCTCCTTGCTCAGCAGCAAGCCTACTTCTCTCTCCGCCTCTGCCTGCTTGTGCTCTCTCTCTCTCTGACAAATAAATAAATAAATAAATAAAATCTTAAAAAAAAAAAAAAAAGACTACATGAGCTCTGATACAATCTAGGCTTCAATAATTTTTTTAAAGATTCTATTCATTTATTTGACAGAGATCACAAGTAGGCAGAGAGGCAGGCAGAGAGAGAGGGGTGGAAGCAGGCTCCCTGATGAGCAGAGACCTTGAAGCAGGCCTCGATCCCAGGACCCTGAGATCACAACCTGAGCCGAAGGCAGAGGCTTTATCCCACTGAGCCACCCAGGCACCCTAGGCTTCAATAATTTTAACCAGTAGAGGTTCCTTTAACAAAAAGTGTCCAGAACAGAATGTTAAAACCGAGTATTAAAAATTGCACTTGAAGAGTGAGAATTTTTCAGTTAAAAACTAGCTTTACATTAAAATAGAATCTGCAATCATACGCAAAGATCTATGGCAGAAAATGGTCAAAATCTATTTGGGAAAGGACAGTCATAGGAATCTGAACAGGGGAACATGGTCTGCATCATAACCTTTGCTGGGCTCACAGATCAGAGTCAGTGAGTGGGGGAATCCTCAGCACCAGAACACTCATTATCTGGTAAAGCCTGGAAGATGGTTTTTACCCAGGATTATCAGAAAGCAATCATAAAGAGGAGGACTTAGCTCCCCAGTGAGAGGAAGCAGACAGGGTGGATGGAATCTTTCGTACCAAGTGAAAAAAGAGCTCAGGCATGGGCAAACCTAAAGAGGCTGTTAAGTCTCCAAAAGGATCAGGCATACACCTGCACTGACAGGGAAAACTTCCTCTGGTTTGCTGTACAACCAGGGTCGGGACTAGGAAGAGCAGAGCGAGGCACTTGCCACGGGCACAAAAAGACAAAGTCAGTATTACTGATGTTTTCCTTTTGACTCAGGCTGCAGTATGGCTGGGCACAGCAATGTTAAACTGATCCTGTTTCATTCTGTTTTGTTTTGAAGTTTTTTAGAGACCACAAGTGGGAGGCAGGGGTGGGGGGCAGGAAGAGAGAGAGGGAGAAAGAATTTTAAGCAGGCTTCAGGCCCAGCACAGAACCTGATATGGGGCTCCCTCTCATGACCCTGAGATCAGGACCTGAGCTGAAATCAAGAGTTGAGGCTCCCCAAACTGATTCTGTATTTTAAGCTCTGATATTTTGTTCATTGTGGCTTTTGTATTCATTTTTATTTTTTAAATATTGCATAAAAACATTATTAAGGTTGATTACTGAATTTTAGGGTGCCCCTTAAATTCTGCACTTGAGGTAAATCCCCCACTCTAGTCTCGGCTCTACGTGAAACTGCTGTCCACACTGGAGAGAAACCTGCCCAGGCACTGGTGTCCATACTACCCTTGCACTCTACTCCCGGGCAGACCTGAGAGGTCAAGACACATGTGAGGGCGGGTAGGACGGCACAGAAACTCAGTGAGTAACTCTAAAGGAAGTGGAGGTTGGGCAACAGGAAGAGACACAGAACTGTGGAGTCCGTTTCTGGCTTTCTGTGGCAACTACAGCGACGCAGTAAAGCTCCAGGAATGGCCCACTCCCAAGTCTTCCTGGACACAGCAGAGATCAGACTTGACTCAAGCACCAAACAGACATAAAGAAACCAAATTACACTGAAGCTGGGATCAAGTATTAACAACCCAGATACCAGGGAGACCTCAGGTGGCTCAGCTGGTTAAGCATCTGCCTTTGGCTCAGGTCATGATCTCAGAGTCCTGGAAGGGAGTGCCACATCAGGCTCCCTGCTCTGAGGGGAGCCTGCTTCTCCCTCTGCCTGCCCCTCCCCCTGCTTTGTTCTCTCTCTCTCTCTCTCTCTGACAAATACATAAAATCTTTAAAAAAACGAAAACAAAAAACCAGCCCAGATACCAAATGAGTATAAGTTCAATGACTAGATTGATAATAAATGAGTACCAACCCCAACAGAACAAAGAAATGTAAGTTAGGAAGAAAGGTGGGTTTTCCAATAATAAGAAGCTTCTAGTGCTCAAAATAGGGTTGAAGAAAGAAGCTATAGGGTCAGTGCAGAACCTATGGAAAAAATAACTGAAGCTTGTTGAGAAAACTGCTCATTCTCAAGAGCCTAGACAAGGCAATGGGAAATACCAAGATGTCAGAGGGTTCTAAGAGGTTTATGCCAAACAAGGAAGGGAAGTAGATCTGAAGAACAGAGGATTCCACCCAATCTGGAAGGAGAAGAGGACAATTGGAACCAAGTATCCAGTACTATGGTTAAGGCTATAAATAAAGTTGAGGAGACGGATGTATAGCTGTTAAAATATTTAACATTTTTTAAAATACTAAAATGTGCACAATATAGCAAATTTAAAAAAAAAAACAAGATACAAAGCTCTAACCTTGTTAGGAGCACAATTATGTGAAAAAGCACATGTGTAGTGAAAAGACTAGAAGAAAATACAACAAAATGCTATGACTAAAACGTGCAAAAACTTTCAAAGACTAAATTGCCTATGCATGATGGGATTATAGATGACTGCTTTTTCCTTATCCTTTTCTGTATTTTCCAAGTTTTTTTTAAAGATTTATTTATTCAGGGACATCATGGTGGCTCAATCAGTTAAGCGTCTGCCTTTGGCTCAGGTGGTGATTCCAGTGTCCTGGGTTTGAGCCCTGCATCTGGCTCCTTGCACAGCAGGGAGCCTGCTTTTCCCTCTGCCTGTCGCTACCCCTGCTTGTTTAAAAATCTTTTTTAAAAAATTATGTATTCATTTTTTGAGAGGGATGAAGAAGGAGAGGGACAGAGAAAATCCTTAAGCAAACTCCCTGTTGAATGCGCCGCCCAAGGCAGGGCTCCATCCTAGAATCATGACCTAGGCCGAAAATAAGAGTCACACACTTAACCAACTGAGCCACCCAGGGACCCCTCCAAATTTTTTATAATGACCATATATTATCTTTCTTAAGTTATAATTAAAAAAAAAAAAACTCTTTTAGTTGTTTTTAAAAAACATTTATTTTTCTTTAAAGAAAAACCCACCCTCCAAACCTGGGGGGCTGTGCTAAGAAGATAAGTCTTCAAAAAGGACCAGGAACACACCAGCACCAACCAAGGTACTAAGTAACATGTGGAGAAAATTTCCTCTGCTTTTGATGTAAAACAAGGACTGGGAAGAGGGTGTGGGAATGAGGTATCTGGACACAAAATTTAAGGGAGTGCCAAAAACTCAGTCATCAAAGTAAATAAAATATTAACATATTTTGTAAATGAGCATCAATGCAAAAATTTCATGAATATATTTTAATTTTTTTTCATATTTCAATTTTTCAACTAAGACAGGATCTGTATTTATTTTCCTTTAGCCTCAGGCTCCAACATGGCTGGGCACAACACTCTTACTGATCCTGTCTTTATTTAAAAGTCTGATATCTCGTTTGCCATAGATACTTTGCATTAATTTGTTTTTATACTTGGGGAGACTGGGTGGCTTGTTTAGTTGAGCATTCAACTCTTCATTTAGACTCAGGTCATGATCTCAGGGTCATGAGTTCAAGCTCCCCGCTCAGTAAGGAGTCTGCTTGAGAGTCCCTCTCCCTCGCACTGTGCCCTTCCCCCAACTCAAATAAATAAAACCTTTTTTTTAAGATTTTTTTTTTTTTAATTTGTCAGAGAGAGACACAGTGAGAGAGAGAACACAAGCAGGGGGAGTGGGAGTGGGAGAAGAAGGCTCCCCATGGAGCAGGGAGCCCAATGCAGGGCTCGATTCCAGGACCCTGGGATCATAACCTGAGCCGAAGGCAGAGGCTTAACAACTGAGTCACCCAGGGGCCCCAAATAAAACCTTTCAAAAAAAGTTGGTAATGCTTATGCTTAACATAATCCTGACTGGCTAATTTCCTGGAAAATGTCTGAGCCCCTCCACGGTGGTCAGGGCAGTGAGGTTGACCAGTGCTTGCCTGGTCTGATGGCAGTACTAAGCACGAATGAAAGAGCGGAGACGGCCTTGAGAGAGCCCCATGCACTCTCCCAGGCTCCGCTAACCCAGCTCTAAGCCCAGACTTTCTCTCCAGCGATTTTCTGGGATCAAAACAGAAAACTCCTTTCTATTCAGAAAATACACAATACACTATGACTGACACCCTGGTCAACCATAAAAGAAGCATCAGTCCTTAATAGAATCCCACTTTAAAAATGTGCATGTTAACAACTACGCTTGAGTTTAATGGCAGCATGGACACATGATACACACGTAAACATCCAGGAAGCAAGGGAGTGACAGCTCAATTAACCATGCTTATGAGAAGTTTATAAAGGTCTGGGTCCTCATGGTGACAAGAAGAGGCACATATATCTAGATAAAAATGGCCTCTCTAGAGCTCAAGAGATCAAGTCAATGATCACAGAAGCACCATCAATCAGGACTGCAGTCTGAATCATTCCTCTAGTAAGAACACGAATACAATGTGAATATAAGGGAAAGAAAGAGACACACAATGTAATGCCACGGGGCCTATTCTCCATCAAACTTTCACATCTTCCAGCCACTTGATAGCACATCTGTTTCGGACACATCCAAAAATAGCACTACTGAGATTCAGCTCTGTGCCAAGCACTTGCACATGCAACATCCAATTGCATCCTCATGACAGTCCTGCGAGGCAAGTATTATTATACCCATTTAGCCAATGGAGAGCCACAGATTCACTCTGCAAGCAGCAGATCTCCCAATAATCCAGGCACATGCCCAATGCCCTGAACCTGTGCCTCGCACACTCATTTCCTAAAGTCCACCTACCAGGCTTCCAAAGGCTCCCCCAGCTTATTCTACTGTGATTTTCTCATTGTCCATTCAGAAACTCAAGTCTCATTTCACCGATAAAGAAAAGCAGGACACAGCAAAGCATTCACTAAACTTTCCATTATCAGACCTCTGGTACTATATACTTAAGAGTGGGCCACTGTGGGACGCCTGGGTGGCTCAGTCATTGGGAGTCTGCCTTTGGCTCAGGTCATGATCCCAGGGTCCTGGGATGGAGCCCTGCGTCATGCTCCCTGTTCATCAGGGAGTCCGCTTCTCCCTCTCCTACTCCTCCTGCTTATGTTCCCTCTCTCGCTATCTCTGTCAAATAAATAAAAAATCTTAAAGAAAAAAAAGGGGGAGGCGCCTGGGTGGCTCAGTTGGTTAGGCATCTGCCTTTGGCTCGGGCCGTGATCCCAGGGTCCTGGGATCAAGCCCTGCATTGGGCTCCCTGCTCAGCTGAAAGCCTGCTTCTCCCTCTCCCTCTGCCTGCTGCTCTGCCTACTTGTGCTCTCTATCTCTCTGACAATAAATAAAATCTTTTTTTAAAAAGGGGGGGCCATAGTGCTGTCCTGAGGACCCAGGCTCCTCTGTGGAATTTACTCCCCAACTGGGAGAAACAGTGCCCTAACACTCCAATGGGGCTCCATTCTAGGTAAATCCGCCCCCGCCCCATCACAAGGAGAGCTGAGTGACAACAGGGAAGAGTGCCAAGTGGCAACTGTGTGCCAGCTTTCAGCAAATCATCCCCTACCTTCCAGAGCGATGGAGAGATCACTTCCCCGGGCTGCTGCAGAAGCAGACTGTGGGAGGGATTTCAGCTGCAAAGCTTCAGTTACATTCCTTCCTTCTTGGCCCTAACCCCTCTTCTCTTGCCTTCTGTATTCATTCTAACAGGGGGAGGCCCTACGATCTACCAAAGAAGGCCAGGTACTGGCAAGAGACCCCTCCTTATCCCTACTGCATTGGTTCCGACAGGAGGCATAAGAGACCCAGATGGAGCAGCCATTAGCACATTTGCTTGGGGACTACATTTTAGGTCAGGGAGGGAATGCGGATGGTGAAGATACTCATCTTATTCTTAAATTCTACTTCTGCTCACTAGCCTTGAGTATCTTTTTCACCTTCCGTCCTCACTAAGGCACCCTGGGGAATTCAGGCTCCCCGGGCATTGCGGTCTCAGCTGGAGGGGAAGGCCTGTGTTGGGAGAGGAACTCCTTGCACTTCTTCCCTCCCCGCCGCCCAGGGCCCTAGAGGGGAACACGGTGCCTTACTTCTCAGCTTTCAAGCAATAACTAAGTACGGCAAAGTCAAGGGTTTGGGATTTGGGATGAAGTAAAAAGCAGTTAGCATTAGACAGAATCAGACCACATGCACATCGCAACAGGGCTATGTTAGTAAGGGTATGTGGGGTTGTGGGAACGATTTTCAGTGAAATTCTGAACAGAAAGATGCCTCTAGACTTATCTCTGAATGCTGAAATTAAGAGATGCTGACTGCTCTGAACCTTCTTCATTGCAATTAGTGATTCAATCCTAAGGAAACCAGAGACTCCAATGTTGAGCACGTCTACTACCTGGATCAGATGAATTCAAGTGCAAGGAGATCCTATTCCCAGGTGAACCACCTTCTCCCCATCTCCCACTGATCTATGCAGCACAGACACCCACTTTCATTTCTAAAATTATTGGCAGGGTCTGGGATACCTGGATGACTCAGTTGGTTAAGTGTCTGCCTTCAGCTCGGGTCATGATCCCAGGGGTCCTGGGATCCAGTCCTGCATCGGGCTCCCTGTTCAGTAGGGAGCTTGCTTCTCCCACTTTCTCTGCCTGCTGCTCTGCCTGCTTGTGCTGTCAAATAAATAAATAAAATCTTTAAAAAAAAAATTATTCACAGGGTCAAAAGCATCATTTAAAAAAATCTCAACACTGAAAGGGGCCTCAACTCCTCCCTTTTCACCTCCCCAAACTACCAGGAGTTCTAGAGTCCCAGAAAGTCCTAAACCCAGCTAGTGTCCTTGACTTCCACACCCCTCCCTCTTCCAAGTTCCCTCCATCAGCCAGCCTGCCTCCATTCATCTTCCTGTCTCTGAAGCCCATCGCTCCCTTTTTAAGGACTTCACTCCAGAAACTGTCTGTGCCTCCTCTCCTGTATTTCCAATGGCTCCTCCCTACTGCCTCTTTCCCATGAGTATTTAAACTGCTCGACGTCTCTCTGATCTTAAAAAAAAAAAAAAAAGGAGAAGCAATCTCTTCACCCTTTTTTTAATCCACCTAGCTACCATCCCTTTCCTCTCTTTTCCAGCCAGACCATTTTAATGGCCTAATACTCCTCTCTCTCTGCACATTCTATCTCCCGGTCGTTCAAAAGCCTCCTGTAATCTGGTCTCTGCCCTCTGCACGGCCCTCGCCGGGGCTTAGTCCAGTACGTTGCTTTTCAGGTGCTGTGTCACATGTCAGCCACGTGGCACTTTTCACTGGTGATGCTCCTGAATCAGGTACTCTTTCCACTGGGCTCCCAAAGGAAAGGCCATTACCTGCTCAGTCTTCCTCCTACATCTACAATCTACATCTACATCTACATCTCTGTCCACTTCTTAATCTCCTTTAGAATCCCTCATCTTCGTCCTGCTTCTTAGCTGCTAGTGTTTCTTCAGGGTTCAGTCCTGAGTCATCTCTATTTGCTCTATAAATGCTCCCTGGGCAAGCTCACCCATTAAGCATCCTTTAATTACATTCATAATATTGACAACCCTCCCCAGAGGTCCAGACCCAGACATTTTTGACCTATTCAATTAACCTGGCAGACATTTCCACCTGTAATTTTCACAGGCACTCCCAAGTCAACATTTTTAAAACTGAAATCAAGCCTCATCTGCCCCCCCTTCATACCTCCTAAGACTCCTCTCCTGTGTTCCCCGTTACTGTGAATATGACCACCCCTACCCAATTTTCTGTCTTCAACAACTCCCATTCCCCAATATCCAACAAATTACCAGAGCTTACTGATTTTTCTCCATCTCTCTCAAATCTGCTTATTTCTTCCCACACTCACTGCCATTACCTTATTTCAGGCCATCCTCATTTTCCCCTAGAGTGCTAGAATTTATGACTATACTGTCAGAAAAGCTGTGTGGTATCTGCCCAACTCAGTGATTCGCCTTCTTCTGGATATTCCCTCTCGTGCAGTCATGTCTAAATAATACCTTCCCCTCCACCTTGTCAGAGCTCGTGGAACCAGCGGACCCAAGCTTGGATCAGCCAGATTCTTCCTCCCACAGAAGTGGAATTTGGTGTAAGCCTGGGCAGGCAACTTAAATTATAAATAAAAGTGGGAGGTATATAGTAACCATACAGAGCCACACGAATGAACAGGTTAGGTCCACATGTAAAAAGAAAAGACCAACACAAAAGCAGAAAAAAACAGAGATACAAGAGAGACAGAGAGAGAGAAACTCCTGAAGGCCTTCTTGTTCCTGACCTCAGCCCCTTCCTGAGGGTCAGCGGCACTTCCTCTCCCAGGTTCAATGACAGACTCCGCCCTGTCTTATCATTTTCCTTTTATATGCAGCTGGTTTGAGTAGGTAACTGTTACATGCCTAGGGAAAGTCTTGATTAATACTTTTGGATTAACTCACTCTTACCCATTGGGTCTCAGCTTCCCCATTCGCAAAAGTAGAAGATAGAAGTAGATAAACTCTGTGAGGGCAGTAAACATTAACATGCTACAATTTTCAAGTAGAATATGCATTATTTCTATATTCAGTCTATGTGCAAAATCACAGTCAAATTAATATTTTAAGATTGCGCTTTTTAATAATCAAGTTTTTAAAAGATGTAGTGTTGTTGTTGTTGTTAAGATTTATTTATTTATTTAAGGAGGGTGGGGCAGAGGGTGGAGAGAATCCTGAAGCAGACTCCCCTCTGAGCACTGAGCCTGACCCAGGGCTCCATTCCAGGACCCTGAAATCATGACCTGAGCAGAAATCAAGAGCCAGACACTTAACTGACTGAGCCACCCAGGTGTCCCTAAAAGACGTGGAGTTTAAAAACAAAGAGAGTGCCTATTTTAACGCAAAGAAAGTGTTTTATTCGTGTCAATTTTCATCTATTTATCATAAGTATACATTTTAAAATTGTTTCCTTTTTTAAAGCCCTAAATTAAAACATTTCTCTGACCTTCAGTAGAGCTCACCTGACACTCTGCAGTGCATTTACAAATGGCCCAATTCAGAACATATTTAGAGAATGCTTTCACTATTCATGCTTATATCATTGCTGAAAAAAATAGATTCACCTTACAATGCCACACTGAACATAGTGCACTAAGTGTTCTAAAAACACCTGAAAGCTTTCATCCTCCCAAGAGGCTCTAGATAAATTCTTAAGCCACTTATTAAGTATCCAATATACAAAGTACAGGTTATATCACTGATAAAGTAGTTGGTATGCTGACAAAGAGTCTGATCCCGTAGGCCTGGGTAGGGCCTTGAGATTTTTTTTTTTTTTTTTTTTTTTAAAGCCTCCCAGGTAATATGGATCATGTGCCATTTTGGGGAGCCACTGTCCCAGAATCAGAGGCATTTCAGATCTTTTTGAAATAAAAATAAAAAGCAGCATACTAGGAACACTTAGAATATAACCAGAGTATCTCTCTATGTTAATAATGTGTGTGTGTGTGTGTGTGTGTGTGTGTGTGTGTGTGTGTGTGAGAGAGAGAGAGAGAGAGAGAGAGAGAGACTAACTTAAATGAAGCCGACTGGCAGTTTTAAGGGTAAGAGAAATGGTAAGGAAGTCTGACCAGGTTAGCTGTCTTTGTTAAGGAAAGGAAGCTCATGACTGCAAATTCCTATTCTGAAAAGATGTGCCACTGGCAAACACAAAATGTACCATAATCCACATTTTAAATAGCTATTCAAGATCCTACAGAGAAACTTCTTTGCCAGATGACTGCTCTAGTTCAAGTTTGAATGCTAGGAAAGTCAAACAAAAGAAAAAGGCTATCCCAAAGCTGTTTCAGAAACAGGGTTCAGGGACACCTGGGTGGCTCAGCTGGTTAAGCGTCTGCCTTCAGCTCAGCTCATAGTCCCAGGTTCCTGGGATCCAGTCCCACATGGGGCTCCTTGCTCAGTAGGGAGCCTGCATCTCCCACTGTTTGCCACGCCCCCTGTTTGTACTCTCTGACAAATAAATAAAATCTTTGGAAAAAAAAAAAAAAAAGAAAGACAGAAACAAGGTTCAACAAGAAGTGGTGGTCAAGGGAAGATTAAGAGTCAGGCTTAGGTGTAGAAATAAAGCTTTCTGCTCCAGAGTTTTGGCAAACTCCTGGAAAAAGAATGCTGATGTCTAGCACCTTCAAAGTCTTCCCTGCTGCTCTGATGACTTTGC